TGCAAAATTTTGGATTTTTCTATCACTTTCTTTCCCATTGACAATGGTCACCAGGAAACAGATAGAGAATTTCCCTAGAAGAGAGAAAAAGAGACAGCAATAAAATATAGAGGTATAGAGGTAGAGGTTTTAGTCCTTGCCTACTTTATCTAAAACATGTCATTTTAACAGCACACTATTTCGTCAGGTGACGTCTAAATTAAAGTAGATCTAAACCTTAATGGACAAACTTTAAATTTGCTAAAGCACGGTTTATCATAAACGGCTGCCATGATTTTTTAATTTTTTTTCATTAAGAACTGGTTTAATTTTTTTCTTTGCATCTTGGTGCTGCTGATCTCCTGCAGCCTCTTTGAGCCACTTATGACAAGTCAGCTGCACAACCTAGCTCAGTACGACTTCCTGATTGCGACAACATCATGTGGGACCACGTCTGCGGAATCTGTCAGCACAGCTGCTTGTAGATTTTACCAGGAATGCGAGTCAGTATCACAAGAATTTGATGCGTTTCTCACAAAGTGCTTAAAACATAAGTGTGAAACACGCCAAGGCTTCATCTTTATGTGCGTTTAATCTGTGCATGTCTGTACATTAACAATGATCATGACACTGAATAGAAAGCTCCCTGTGTTTAGCAAGCAATACAAATCACAGTCAACTCAAACAGTGAGTAGGAAAGGGCTACACTGATTGCTATTGACAGCATACAGCAGTATCGCTTTCCTTGTGTCTATTCCTAATTGTTGTAGAGTTGCACAGGACCTACCTCCACACAGTTGTCACAGACACTGCAATGTGAACAGCGAGGTGGGCGGTAGAAGTGACAGGTAGCACACCACTTCATCCGTACTTGTATTCTTTTGATCTCCACATTCTTGTAGAGGGGAGCTCGGAAGTCATCATCTTTATCTTCATCCTCATCAGCTTAGGAAAAAATAAATAAGCATCAGTAAAATAATAATGTCCCTGAAATGCACAAATTATACTATGTGACAGGAAGTAAAAACATGGACTCCTGAGATGTCCTAGTACTTCTGATCCCATATTTATCGGTTTACTGTTTTGCTTGATCAGTGAGTCTCAATCTCTCCCATCCCGTTAGTGCTACTTACCATTTTCCACTAACAAACTGACCGCAGTGACACAGGGCCCTGCTATATTCAGCTAAATATCCCATGTTTGCTTTCCAAATTGGAACTCTAGATGCACATTAAAAACACACCTTTGTCCATTCTATGTATGAATGAACGTTGTTCCTTCTATGTGCACCACATAGTAACTGGATTTAGTACTTTAGACAGGTGCCTGTAGTTGTTCTTTAAGAAAGGGACAGCCCTCCCACAGTTGTACATGAAGATACAGATACTATGACCATGTATACAGTCCTTAGTTATTCCAACTGTGTATTTAATAACCTGACAGAAATCTCCATTTAAAGAAAACCTGTTGTGAAAGAAATACACAGGCAGCTATTGCTAATGTCCTAAAAATGCTTCTTCCCTAGCTGTGCTGTTGATCCTGACTACAGAACTTTGGGTTACTGACCCAGAACAAGAATATCAGCCAATATTTCTAACTACACTCTGACTTCACATGCTGCATGCTTGTGCCAGAAACACCCAGGAACTAGCATTACCAGAAGGTTGGTGAAGGCAGCTCCCATATTTCCTTTAGCTTTGAGTAGAGTTGTTCTTGAACAATTTCCATTTTGATGTCAAAAGACAATGCATAATTTGTAGCCATTTAGAGAAATTTACAATTACATATTCACTATGTCACAGGTTTGTCATTAGGCATGCAGTTCTGTGGCTATGGGTAGCAAAGGCAAGGAATTAAAAATATGGCTTTTCCCTGTATCCTTAATGTGTCAAACATTGTTTTTCCCGTAATAATTTCCTATAAACGTATCTATACATTGTCAGGTTTAGTAGCATAGCGTATTTTCAGTGAGCACATATATTACATTGTGTTATGAAGAAGTATTAAATGCTTTTTTATAGGGTTGCACAGATACCAAGTACAGTACTCGGTACAAGTACGAGTACATGTACCGATACCTTTGAGCTCCAAGACTACACTAGATTAAAATTCAAAAGTTAGGAGGCAGCTGTCATTTGCAAGGCGCACACGGAGCTCCTGGGATTTGTACATCTCTGTTTTAATGTATGATTTTGTTTTTATAAATATAAATAAAAGGATGCACAGATACCAGTTTTGCGAGTACGAGTACTGGTACTTGCCGAGTACTTACAAGTACGAGTACTGATACATTTTTGTTTATTGTCATGTGACAGTTTTTCTAAAACAATACAGACTAATGATTTCAGGACAGTGGTGGAGCGCCAGAGCCAGGTCCCAGCTGCAACCGCTGCAACCCTGGTAGTTCTCATGAAAATGCCAAGTATCGGCACTGGTACTCGAAAAGTATCTGTGCATCCCTACTTTTTTCTTAATTTGTGGATGTCTTAATACTTATATAAAAAAGTGATCCTAGCAGAGGACTCTATCAAACACCAGAGTAGTATGGCTCACCCATAGTAATAAAATGGGACTGCGACACACATAAAAAGTAAGCGATTGTAGAGATTTCGCCATGGAGACTACAGAGGTAAAATTTGCTTTTAAAAAAAAACCCTCAAAGCTTTGTTTTCTCACAAAGCCATGTAAGCACTATATCAGCACTGATATAGTGGCCAATGACTTAGTTGAAAAACCATGCCAACCCTAGCGCTGGCACCAACCCTAACCCTTTGTTCTCCAACAAAGCCATGGGATGACCATGTACACACTGAGAAGGTTAATACATGGCTTTGCTGATAAAAAATAACTCTGTTTTCTAACAAAGCCATGTGAAGACCCCCTCAGCACTGTTGAGCTAATTATATGGCTTTGCGGATAAACAAAGCCATGGCATGGATAGTGGACACTTTTTGTAGGTGCACTTGTAAAATAAAAAAGTTAAAAAGGAGCCTCTGTGACCTTCAGGAGGCATTGAAGCCCATTGCACTCTTGGAAAAACATCAGAAAAACAACTTAATTTCACCTTTCTCGCTGACTTGAATGCAAGATGGGGAATTTCCGTAAAATATAACATTTGTTAATAAAAATATAACCAAAGCAAAACTTTCATTATCCTACTACAATGTTAAGCCTAAAGTGACACTAAACTCAGAACTTAAATATTAAAATTCAAGCACCCTAGTCATTAATAAAAATGTATCTTATTTGTGTATCGCTAGGCTGTAGATCCTCAAATCATCTCTGAATTGGTGCGGACACTGTCCTTCCTTCTGGAGGGTGGTTACTTTTAGTCCCCATGGTTCCTGTGTGTGTGTTGTAAAGTAGCCACCGCTCCAAGCTCACTCCTGTGATGGACTAGAATTGCATTACAAATTAGTACTAAATGTGAGGTTGTAGGCCATTAAGGGGGATGAATGAAGAAAATATAAGAGATTCCTCCATCCACACTGAATAGCATGGATAAACAAAAGTTGATCCAATGATATAATACTGCTTAATCAGTTGAAATTTGCTCTGTGTGTACCCTATTTTAGTCTTTCTATTATGACAGTAGGAGTTTCCAGTCACTGAAATTGAGAAAGGAGCCTGCAAAGGCCTGCTAAACAGAGATATCGAAAAGGTAAGATTTTTAAAACAATTATTTTAGGTATGTTGTGTGACTAGAACACAAAACATTGAGGGGGTTTTCTCAATGTTGCCTGCAAAAGTGGAAATGCACAAGTTTCCTAAAAAAAAAAAAAGTCAATTTATTTCTAGCTTATAGTGGAGATGAGATGTAAAAAAAAAAAAGTGGATGTAGCAGGACCCCTCAGCTTCTTACAATCACGAGTCCTCAGCACTGTGTTGAGGTTTCATGCTGTAGCAGTTCTCTATATCTCTATATATCAACACTTTAGAGAAAAGCATGCATTCAGCTTTCACAACACGCTGATTTAGGAGGCAGAGCAATATCAACTATATAGCTCCATATACAAAAACTTGTCTGCAGGCTGAAGATAAAAGCTGAACTGCCTAGTTACTATAGCAATGCTACTATAGTAACTGCACAGCACTAGAAAAAAAGGCTCAGAGAAAAGAGGAGTGCCACTTAGAGGAAGCAGGCTCCAAGGAAATAAAGACACTGTGGAGATGAGAAATACATAGACCACTGGGAATTAGGAAGAGAGGTTTGCATGCAAGCACAAGGGAGACATTTACTAAGGAGGAAGAGATGGGGAGGCAGGAAGATGGTTTAGTAGTCTTCGTAGCAATTCATTCAGTTTTACATATAGAGGTACCAACAGGATATGCAACACTTGAGTGAAGAGATAAAAGAAGGAAGGATGAGAAGTAGCGAAACCAACATTAATATTATTACACAATGATTACGTATGTGCTTACAAAGGCTTCAAATTTAAAACTAGAAACACCTGCAAAAGTCAGGCCTGCAGGACTTGAGGCCCGTTCACACCAGACACAGTGTGTTCCGGCCCGATTCTGGGCAGAACGCACTGGATCGTATTGCAGCTGGCTCACTTTGTTGTGGGGCGGGAGGGGGCGTGACGGTGCATTGACCTCAATGGCAACGTAGCCACGTCCTCACGGGAACGCAGAGCACAATAAAAAATAGTGCTGGCAGCATTTTTTTCTGACCGGACCAGACTGCAGGCACTGATGTGCCATGCGTTCACGTGCGGCCGATCGCATTGCCAGAGGACATGGCTACGTTGACATACACGTCAATGGACCGCCACGCCCCCTCCCACCACAAACAAAGTGAGCCGGCTGCAATACGATCCAGTGCCGTCCAGCCAAAATTGGGCCGAAATAGTGTCTGCTATGTTTACACCATGTCTGGAGCAGATGTGGAGCAGATCTGCAAACATAGTGCAGTGCGTTTTTGCTGCATTACGGTGCATTTTTTTTTAAGCTTAAAATGGACTTTTAGATGCTTCAGTTTTTAGTTCACTGAGTTTGCATGCATATCAGTGCGTTCCAGACCAGAGAAAATGGGACAAGCAGTATTTTTCTGGTCTGGAACTGACTGCGGTGGTGTGAACTGAAGCCAAGAAGAGCATAGGGAAACATTGGGATGCATTTTAGATCCAGAAACAATCTGATCTGGGAGGTGGTGTTGAAGAACCCCTAATGGCCCATTCACATCAAGTGTGCATCACAGGTGTATACAGAAAACAATTCGGATATGTAGATATAGTACCTTCCTTGTGCCCAAGCTTCTACTTAGATTGTTGTAGCACAATTGTACTAGGGCTAAGGCCTCAGCACCCAACCTCAGTCTGCAAAGCAAAACCTTATAGAAACTGGCTCATAAAATGTCAATGAAGACATTCACTTTGTACGGACATGTGGTGTTTAGAGTCAATGGAACCCACCTGTATTCATAGTCAGTCACAATCTATCAAAACTGGTTATTTGGTAGTTGTGGGTAGAGACCATAGAGTGCATCCTCCTACTGGCTTATGATTATAAACTCAAGAAAACGGGTCTTCTGTTCGCCTCACTTTTCCATGGTCTCAATTTTTATGCCTCCTGTATTCTTTGTAACGTAATATAAATGAAAACAAAAGGGTGGCTATCATAATGGCAGAGCAAGTAGCTGGAGCTGAGAACTTAAGGGCAAAGATCTGTAAGTGGTTCAACCTACCAGTTCTATATGAAACTAACTTATTTCTGGACAAAGTAACCACCAAAGCAGAAAATATATATTAATGAACGATATAAACAAATAAATCTTATATAACAAACATATGTTCCTGAGCTGCACACTGCCATTTTATTCTTGAGTAAAATGTATTTAAATGCCACAAACTGAGACAATCATATTAGTAAAAAACAATTGTATTGTTGTACAGCAACGCAAGGTTAATGATGAAAAAGTAGAGAGGCGCATATGCTATATAAAAGGTAAATTTGACAAAAATTATTCTCTTTGTGTGAAATAAATGTCAGTGTCCAGCGCTGTTAATCATGCGGCCTTGTCGTCTTATTAATATTGATTGCATGGAGCGAATGATGGGTTCAGCTTGAGGTCTCCCTGCGATGTTAGCTCTGCTGAGAGTCTGCCTATACAGCAGATGGGAATCAGCTGCTCCAATCACAACAGATAAATATTTAACAGTTATAATATAGGACTCAATATTTGATAGCTCTGATACACAGAATGAAAAGCGCAGACGGATCAGGATTTCTCTATGGAGGTCAGTCCATTGGCAAAATGATTAACCGCCTCTTTTCCAAGTCACTAGACCAAAGTAAAAGTGCTTACCTCTTGGGAAGATACCAGGATCCATAAAGGTTGCCATGCTGAAATTTGCCACGACAAACAGGAACATGAGCCCATTGTACACCGGAATGGCTGGAGAGATTTCTCTTGTTAGCCAGGGACACCTGTGAAAGAGCAGAGGATTCTGGTTAAGATCTCCGAAAAAGGCTGTTATTACAGGTAACAGTTTAAAATGTGGATGACATTTTAGCTACAGGTTTCAGTTAGGATGAATTCACAGCATGTACAGGGAGGGGAATTAAACAAAACGGAAGCAGACAAAATCTGGAGCAGCTGTGCATGGCAACCAATGACCTTCTAGCTTTCATTTTCAAATCTTAATTAAAGAGAGAAGCTGATTGGTTGCCTTGGGCAACTGCTCCAGATTCTGATAAATTCACCTTATTGTGTTTACCGATTTTAACATACTTTAATTGCCATGCGTCCTTAAAATGTGCTGCAGTTGCACTCAAGTGCAACATGTTGGTATGAACTGGGCCTATCGGGAACTATGGATTACATTGCATTCAGCAACACAGACCAAAAGATACGGTGTAAATAGGCCCTTAACCTTTTTCCACACTTAGACCAGTAATGCATCATTTGCTGTCTCATGGTATAGCGGGCAGGTCATATGCCCCGTGTTTAAACAACCGCTGTGCTCCAACATATGGGCACTAATCCAACAGCATGCTCGTAGGTGTTTGCACAAGAGTTATCCACAGTGCTACTATTGAGCTTTCAGTGTCGGCTATGGAGAGAGAGGAAAAGCATGTGAGCCAGTAATATTGGTACCAACCCACAGTTTACCGTCAATACAAGACAGCGTTAATGTGAATTTTCTAATGACGGTCAGAAATCCTGACAATCTGACAGCAGCGTAATCCTACTACAAAAGCACCTGTTTTCTGCACACAAAAAAATGCATTCTTCTTTTAGAAATGGCCTCAAATAATCTTGGTCAAGTGTGTGTGTGTGTGTGTGTGTGTGTGTGTGTGTGTGTGTGTGTGTATTAATATTGCGAAATTAAAGACTAAACAATATAAACTGGTATAGTCATTCCACAAAAAGATCACATATACGTTTGGCTGCTCCAGAACAGGACCAATGCATTTGAGTTGGTGATTTGAACATGTACGATCAGGTTAGAGAATACTGGCATTCAACTCCATTTACAAAAGAAATCATAAAACACTCCCAAGGACATAACTTGATAATAAATCTGTGCTATCTCTTGATATGTTTTGGCATTAAGCCAGTGAAGGCACATTTCCAGAACACAGACTAGACTAATGAATAGACCAGAAAAAGAGGTAACATGGGGGAATGCTCTTTTATCTTAGATTATAGAAGAACTCAGAAGATGTAAAATATGACATTATCAGTCACCTTATGCTTTATAGTTGAAGAACACAAACACAGAAGCTTGAAAATGTACATGCAGATTTTAGAGGGCAGTCAATTGTACCATTAGCTTGACCACCGTCATAGCAAACTGACACCAGAGTGTTGTTGCAAGCCTTCTATAAACTTGCGAGTTTGGCTTAAGCCAAAGCCGTCCATACAGTTTAGTAAGCCAGCCGAAATTCACTCAATGGTTCTCTTTGTCAGCAGCCTTCCGCCCGACATCCTTCGAGCATAAAACTGAAGGAGTGGGACAGAAAAGTCTTGTCCAAACAGTGACTGCAGCCAGTTCTGCTGTCAGAATACAATCAGCGATTTGCCCATCCACACTGTGTCCTGGAAGGAGGAACCTGTTAAGAATTAATTTTTGTACAGCCCACAGGCTGAAAATTGTGAGGCCAGCTTTAGGGAAGAGAGGCAGGTGTTTGGGAGATGGTAGCCAGTACTGCGCTATCGGGGAGGAACTATACCGCACAGAACAGGTTTCAGAGCTGGTCAATTGAGCACCAACATTTCAACAAGGTCTGTACGCTGCATGGAGTGCAGGTGATTTCGTAGTATCCATTTTCAATTGACATGCGTTTGGCTACAACCATAGTCTTCAGAATGCGCTGAAATAAGGCACAAAATCATGCATAGTGAAAAAAACACTAATGGGTGAACATAGACAAAGCTGGTTGGCTCAGAAGATTTTTTTTTTTTGACCCTAGGCAAGAACAAGCACTTAACCCTTGCAGTGTGGTGGTAGGTCCACTGCAGGGGTTAATAACATTTTAAACAGGAGTTTAGATATAAACACTGCTAACTAGTACTTCCTTAAGGTACATTGTTTAAAATACTATGAAAAACATTCAAACTGTAAGAATTCAGGATGTTAACTTTCATATTATTGCAGCACATTCCCATTCTCTTTTACAACATAATGTGGAAGGAATTTGTACACAAGGCAAACCTTGAGAGTGAACATTTCTGGTTTGGAATAACAACAAATAAAGAAACAATTAAAACCTAACCCAGGAGGCAAGTGAATAAATTAAATGGTTGTGACAATTGTGACCTTCTGTAAGCCACGGAAACGGTCGCTCAAGGACACAGCGCCGGCTTTTGCCCGCCTGTTCCAAGATTATATGAATACTGACAACCACACAGGAAGTTAAAATAACCGCATAAAACTGAAAAGCATATTGCCAGCCAATATTAAAGACTGGAGGACAATAGTCATTGCTAACATTATAGAACAAGGGCAACAGTTACAAACTTTTCCTTAGCATTTGTAAGCTTGTATAACCGTCATAGCACGCCAAACTAACCAGCCCAGCCACAAAGGATGCAACTACAGTAAACTCCCCGTTATACGGTATCCACAGGGATTGCTAGATTCCGGATAAATGTCGTTTCTGGTTGCTTGAGCGTTACTAATAAAAATAGGTCTAACTAATGCCATACCCCATACTATGCCATAACAAACTCTGTGTTGACTTCATATTAATATTGAAATGCAGTAATCAAAAGTAAATTAAGACAGACAGGCACACAATCAGGATTTGTTTTTTTTTTCTGGTTAGATGAGAGTTCTGGTTAGTTCAATGCCAGATAACAGAGCTTACTGTATTTTGGATGGTCTGTGCAGTTTTCACTTGGTCTTCCCTAATCGCACTTCACGAAAACACATTGAAAGGGAATTTATCAAAACTGCAGCAGACAAAATCTGGAGCAGCTGTGCATGGCAACCAATCACCTTCTCCCTCTCTCAATTTAAAATCCTAACTGAACTAACTGAGGAGAGAAGCTGATTGGTTGCCATGCACATCTGCTCCAGATTTTGCTCAATTTTGATAAATTCCACTCATGGTACTTTGTGTTTTGTTTGCTGAGATTTTATGCATATGAAAGCTTATGGTGCAGTAAGGTGTGTTGGGGTGTCATTTACAGTGAATGCCACTGTAGGGAATCTTGCAAAGTGAAAAATATTTTGTGCGCTGTGGCAACACACAAAAAAAATGCACGTGTTTGTGCACATTGCCACAATGCACGGATGTGAACAGAGCCTCGGAGCTCGTCCACACTAGCAGCACAGTAAAAAGTGGTGTCTTACCATGTGGCTAGTGTCCGCTAGGTGGCAGCAGTGAGCAACTCAAGGCACTGTTTACTTTTTTTTTTTTTTTTACTTAAAAAGGAGAACTATGGCATCAGGGCTTTTCCCCATAGTTCTCATTAGGGTAACGGGAGGACACAAACTAGTGTACTCCCGTCACCCTAAGCTCAGTATACCGCGAGCTACAGCTCAGGGTATACTGAGACGCCACAGCTAAAGCGGATCCCGACAATTATGTCTGGATCCGCCCAGCTGCGCGAGTGACAGCTGGCTCTGCCTACCTAGAGGCAGAGCCAGCTGTACCCGCCCCCTCCCCCGTCCGTTCCGCCAGTCAGCGCTGGAGGATCGGAGCGGGGAGGGGGGAGTCCAGCCACTCCCCTGTCACGGCAGAGAGCTGTGAAAGGATCGAGTAGTGAGCGAACGCCAGTATGTGTTCACTCACTTCCCGTTCTACTGAGCCGACCTGCGACAGTCTCATTGTCACAGGTCGGCTAGAACTATGAGGTGAGTGAAAAGCACTCCTCATAGTTCTCCTTTAATGGTATTTGGGGTATACAAATTGTGCACTCCATTCATGTCTTCGCACGGCTGTACTTAAGGCCCCTTTCACATGGGCGCTCCGAGCGGGTCCGTCTGTCAGTTTTTCAGACGGACCCAAACTGATGCCCAATGCCAGTCTATTGGCGAGCGTCCGTTTATACCCGGTTACCCCCGGCTCCAGCTGGGTCCGAAAAAACAAAAGAAGCAGTGTTCCATTTCGATGGACAGAATCGTGGGTAATCTGAGGTAAATGGAGACATGGCTATTTCTATCAGATTCCCCTTAGACCGACATGGGATCCGGCAGTTTCAGTTTTTTCCTCCATCACAAAGTGGAGGAAAAAACTGTATGGACATGGATGTCACAGCGGTGACATCTGCTCTGTACCGCTGTGATCACGACAGGATTTGTGCACAGATCCTCTCCTGATCAGCCAGTGTGAAAGTGGCCACTGTGAGCAGAGACCTACAATGACCTGCAGTGAGCTGCAGAATAATGCCGCATGGCACATTTTATCGCAGTCCTCCAAATGGCACATCACACCTTCATTTTACTCCACGGACGGTTCGACATGTAGCCACGTCCTGCCACTCAGTTGCATGCGGCTACATCCACTAGTGGTCCCTCAAGGGTGCAGGTTTCTGCACGGACGTGCACGCTGTACGGCTGTCCACATCTGTGTGACTGAGCCCTAATAAGAGTGGAGGAGAGGGAAGGAAACGGTGGGTGAGCTGCTCAACTTTTGCAGTCTCTTACACTGGCGGCAGCACCAATTAACCCCTGTAGCACCAGAAGATCAGCAATGTAGAGGGTATCCGGTGGCACTTGTGGAAGGATTTCTACATTAAGCAGCAGCTACCAGGACATGAGAAACACCTCATTGAAGGGAAGTTATGTCCCTGGGGATTCATAACAAAAACAATGAACTTCAACTTTAACACACAATAAGCCCAATACACAAATCTAACACCCTAGGATAAGTATCCTAATATTAAAAAGAAAAACTTTCAGGCGAGTCCAATGATATTTTAAGATGAGTCACATGCCTTAGGCTGGTGCCGTAGCTTTATGAATTGAACCTAATGG